AATATTCGCCTCTTGGTTAAAAGCTAACAACATCACCAAAGATATCTTTAAAAACAACTTAACAAGAGTGTGCACATGCGTTTTTAAAATATTTAAACTAAGCGCCACAACAGGTTTTTTTAAGGAGCTATTCGATATAGTATGCATATGCGCATAATCAAATGCTTTTCAATTTCCATCCACCTGGCAAATAAAGATTTTAATCACTCACCTCGTGTATTTAAAAAAAAATAAGAGTTTAAAAAATTCTCCTTCTGAGGGTTTTATACTTTTTTAAAAGCCTTTTTACGCAATTTTAATTTTTCTTCCAGTTTGTAAATAAAACTTACATTAAATACGTTTTGTTTTCTGCACTTCAGATTTATTTTGGAATTCACATTAAAAACAAAATTCGTGAACGGCTTAGTTTATTTAACAAAATAATAACCTATTCGATAACTGTCGGTAAAAACTCTAATTAAATATAAAGCAACTTTAAAATACGAAATTATTTTTTAAAATTTATAAAGTTTTTAAAGAAAAATTTTTTTTAATACTTTGACTTTTAATTAGTTAAGTTTCAACAGTATGATCAAAATACGTCACCAACACAGGTGCAAATCATGCAGACCGCAACGTATCGATCCTAACCACTAATTCGCACCAAGTGTAAATTAAGTATAAAAACATAAACATTTTTTAGAAAAAATCATTATGAAAACTTTCTGTAAAAGATATGGTAAAAATGCATCTAAACGTTTCTTGTATTTGCAAATATTTTTAAACATCTGATATATTTCTTAATCGATCTGCTTAAGAGGGTCACGAACCCCATTTAGGCATTATAACACTGACGATGTTGGCCTGGAAAATGTGCAATGTGGACTTATATAATTTTTATTTTTAAATTATTTTATTAGTTAAATGATGTGTTAGTTCGTTATAGCCATATTGGCGCTATTTACTGGTTATATCGATCGTGGTTTCTTAAATGATCGGTCTGTCCGCATTTCTACGGCTTTAATCTCTAACTTTCTAAGCATTCTTTTTAACTTGATTACTTCTGACTCTTAATATTTTTCCGTTTTTCTGAAAATTACTAATCTTGTTTCGTGGGGACGAGTTACGATTAGAGTTGCACAAAAAAACGTTTTTTTTTAAATCTTTTTTTTTATGTCAAAAATAATCGTGTTTTAATTGTTATGTTTTTTATAGCTCTATGCAGAATTGTTAGTCCTTGCCCTTGCCTAAAAGTCTAAAACTAGGGCCTTGGCGTTAAAATTTTTTGCCTTGGCCTCGATTTTTGGACTAGGCCTTCAAAAAAAAAATACATAAAATGAAAGAATTAAAAGTTTTCATTCCTTATTTTTATGTACTTTTGCTTTCGCCTTTCATATATATCTACAAGTATATTTTCTTATTGACTTCTGTACATAACCTTGCTTTACTTTTACAATATGTAGTTTTATTTTTGCAGCAATTATTACCAACAATTTTGTTAACAATTGGCCTTAACAAAAAGCAAAAATTTAAGTCTTCGGTCTTGAAAATGTTTGTGTAGGCCTTAGCCTTAAAACTCTTATTCTTGGCCTTGACTTTAAAACTTTTGGTTTTGTTGTTTTTGGCCTTGGTCTTGGCTTTGGCCTTGCTACTTTTGACCTTGTTAACAGCTCTGGTTTTATGGTTCTTATTTGTTTTTGTTTTTTTTTGAGTTTTTTAAATTAAAAAAGCGTATTACATGTTATATTGAAGTTTATTATAATGTTAACAATTAATAAAATTTTCTTATTTAAAGGTCTAAAAAATTACCCTGTGCCATGTTGATGTGAAAGCCACAACTCACTACAACATTTTTTTTGAAACAAAAAATTTTGTAGTGAGTTATTTTTGATAGGATATTTTGATAGAATGATATAGTGAGTTATTTTTGATAGGATATTTTGATAGAATGATATAGTGAGTTATTTTTGATAGGATATTTTGATAGGAAAATTGGTTTATAGAAACATTTTTGAATTTCTTTCTGAAATAACCTAACAAAGTTCATTTTTCACAAAATTCTTTTGTTTGGATTTTGTTCTTGGTTGTTTTGAAGTGTCTACTATAATCATGTCGTCAATATAAAAAACAAGTCAAGTTTTTTAATCTTGATTAAAAAACTTGACTTGTTTTTTATATTGACGACTTTTTTCGATCATGTTAAAGTGTTGTTCTTGAATAAAGAACAACACTTTAACATGATCGAAAATTCCTATTACATACTAACAAAATTGAATCTTCAAAATCAATCTAGTGGCTGTCCGCTAAATGTCTTAACAATTTTTCAGCAACTTTTATCTCTCTTTCCCCTTGTCAAGAATTTGTAAAACTTCCAGAATATTCCCTATAAAATTCCAGAATATTCCCTATAAAATTAAGTCAATATTGACTAGTCTACTTTCTCCTTTCCCCCCCCCCCCCTCTTCCCGCTTCCTCATCAAGAAAATTAAACGGAAGAAAACAACCTTTTTTTCTTTTTTAAGTAATTTAATTTATTTTAAAAAGTTACATTTTTGGCGTCAAATTTTTTTTGACCTCTCCCCTTCACCTTGTTAACAATTGTTAAAAATTTTCAAAGTTCTCTCCCTCCCACTTTTTATTGACTTTTCTTTATAATATTGACATAATAAATGAACTTAACTGTGTTTAAAATTTAATACAGTGGTATTATAATTTGCTAAACATAATTTTGCTTATTTTTCAGACACTTTCAGACACAAAAAAAATCTTATTTTTAATTTAAACATAAAACTTTTTACTCTGTAGAATTGCTCTAATCCAGAAAAAACTCCAGAAAAATTTTTAAAAAGGTTATTTTATTACCAATATTTTTTTTCATTAACTACACAACCAAATTCTTTTTTTTAAACATCTTCACTACCAACAAAGCTGCAAGCAACCACTATTAGAGTTGGAAGTTACTGGTAGTGAAAAGTTGAAGTTTATAAAGCAAGATATTTATTTTTTAAATAGCAATATTTCTTTTTCTAGCTACATTAACAATATTAATTTATATAAAAAATTAACTAATGCTAAAAAGTTTGTACAATCGTTTTCCAGAATTTTTATTCATGGGTATTTTTTTGGTTTAGTTTATTGTATGTATGTATGTATGTATGTATGTATGTATGTATGTATGTATGTATGTATGTATGTATGTATGTATGTATGTATGTATGTATGTATGTATGTATGTATGTATGTATGTATGTATGTATGTATGTATGTATGTATGTATGTATGTATGTATGTATGTATGTATGTATGTATGTATGTATGTATGTATGTATGTATGTATGTATGTATGTATGTATGTATGTATGTATGTAATGACATGGCATGTAATTTAATTACAAAATAAAAAAATAATAATAATAAAAGTAAAAAAAAATAATAATAATAATAAAAATTAAAATAATAATAAAAGGTTTTTTCTAGCACACTCCCCCTTATTTATCCCTTAACCTCTTAAGGGATAAAGCCTTATTTTTTTAGATAAATCTCTTTTTTTTTTTAAATAAAACTTTTTTAAAACTTTGTCTACTTTGTTTTTTCTGCTTAACAAGCATCAATTAATGATATTGATGCCAAAAGTAAAAAAAAAAGTTTAAAACTTACCTAATGAAAGAGCGCTAAAATGCAACTATGTTTTGAGCGTCAAAAGAGCTCTGGGGAGCATTTAGGATTAACCCAGGACTAACATTAGGTTATTAAAAAAATCTAAATAGGGTTATTAGATTTATTTTTTAGATTTTCTGAAAACTTTTTGCCTAGAGGCGTTTTTAGAGTTGTTAAGGAAACCCATCACAAGATGGGTTTCCTTAACAACTATTGTCTTAATCCCCATTTACAGTAAGAAACAATATCCAAACTTTTCCATAACAAAAAAAAAAAAAGAAATTGGGTAATGTTTATAATTTCGTACATTATTAAAACAACAATTTATGACAGGTTTAATATCAAAGAAAGATTAACACAAATATTTACTTTTTAAGAGCTAAAAGTTATAATTTCTCGTGGATCAATACAATCCATCCCAAGTATGATCTTTTATGGTAAGAGCAGTTGTCATGAGCTAGTTTTTTAAATGGCATTTCACGTTTTTAGACATAATAATAGTAGGCCGACAGGGCAGAGTCGCTAAAGGTACAACGTGGTCAAAGGTAAAACAGGTTCTCCTACCATTAAAAGTCTAGAATTTTCCGCAACATTCTTTTGCTATATGTTTCTATATTAATTTGCTTTATGTTAAAAGATTCCTAATTTAAATTAGTTTAACGTTATTTGTATTTGTTTTGCATTAATTTATGACTTTAAACCCTATTTTGTTTAAATCTTTAAAGTTTCAAAAATTAAAAAACTAATTAAAGACTATTTTTTAATGGAAATTTTTATAATAAACATTTCAACTATTTAAGTAAACAAAAGCTCAGCAAAACCTATAAAATACCTCTCGTCTTTAATCTTTCACTTTAGAGCAAAATAAAAAGTAATGTCTAAAATTTAATGTCAAACTACAAAAAAAACGGTAACTGAAATTTATTTTAGCAGGGAAAAAAAAATCATGAGAGACAGAAAAAAAATAATTGTAATGAAAGGGAGGAAACAGAAAGTTATCAAATTAAGATAAAAATAATATTTAAAGGTTGCGTTAAGTTTTTCAAAACATTTGACATTAGAAAAAAGATCTTTTAATCTAATGTCAAATCACCTTTTGAAAACAATATACAGTATACCACCTTTTGAAAACAATATACACCTTTTGAAAACAATATTCAGTAACTTGTATATTGTTTTCAAAAAGTAAAAGAAATTGAATGATTAGCAAATAAACTTTATAATATACGAGGCCTTTTTTATTTATTTGTAACCTAAATATACCCTTGGTTTATCCGCTACCCTAATGCACTCCCTGGTTCCCCATATAAATACATTTAAATAATTTGTAATAAATAAACAAAATTTAAAAAATAAGTTCTGACCCTAGTTGATTTTTCGCCTCGGTCTTTAAATCAATCATCAATGGTTTATTTTTTAAATTGAATGCAGCATCTGATACTTTTAATGATGAGTTTTTTAAACTCATTGAAGCATCAGGTATCCTCATCATATCATCAGGTACTTTTAACGTATTGTCAGATGAAGCATCAGGTATCTTCATAGCAGTATTAGTAGAATTAAATCCACTATCATTTGAGTTTTCTTTTAAGGCTATTTTTCCATTTTCAAAATACTCAGTACTATTTGTTTTAATTTCGGGTTGCATTGACGTGTTTTTAACGTCCGCATACGATTGGAAAAGCGTGTAGTTTTCCATAAAGTCTGTGATTGATATCTTTCCATCTTTATCAGTGTCTAGTCTTGCAAATATTTGTTTCAGTTCATATGGTTTTAGATCAACTACTGCAGCCAGTTCAATCTCATCAATAAAGCCGCTTGAATCTAGTTCTGCATCCAGAAGTTCACGTTTCATTAAAGCATTTTCATCAACATTCGACATAACTCACTTGATGAGTTTTCAATATTTCTTTTTTTTTATATAAAATTTTAATATAACTCGTAATTATGCAATAACTTAAAATCTTTTAGCCATTATCGATGTTGGCTAATAAGCTTTTCGAATAAAGAATTTTTAGTTGAAAGTCATCGTAATTCCAACAATAATCCGACATTGAAAACCAGTACAACTGTCTCTTTCTCTCCAGTTGGAGTTAAACCATAACAAAAAAACCATTAGCTAATAGAATACTTTTTAGCATGAAAAATTTTCTTTTCTAACAATTTAAATGCTTTTTTTTATTTCAAATTTTTATCATTTTTATTTTAGTTATCATTTCAAATTACAAACTTTTATTCGGGTTGTTTATAACGTAGGCGTCTCTTGCTGTGCTCAACATCTGCGCCATATTTTTCAACCAATCAGAATGGTTATACCATGCCGATTTAACAACTGCGTATATAGCGACACTTTATTTGAATAACTAACTTTTACAAAAATTAAAATCTTTTTTAAATATCTAAATATTATCAAAAATAAACAAAAAAAAAACAAGAAAGCATTTACGCAAATGATTCGTTACTGAGTTTTTACAAAAAATGTAAAGCACACTATAGCGAACCTGGGGAGGGGGAAAAAAATACAGCTCTTATGCACTGTATGGGAGAAAAGTATACATCTCACATAGTATGGACATCTATTGGAAATAATAGAGCTAAATGTTTTTTATTTACTTTTATATTTTAAATTGTTATGCTTTTGCGTAAAAAATAAAAGGTATTTTTTATTACTTCAAAAAATTTTACCACGTTTTCATTAAGGCTTTATTATTACCTTCCAGATTTGATGAATGTCGTAAAATCCAAATCTCAAACTTTACGTAATAAATTTGTACTGGTGTCGATTATTTGATTTTTGCATTCATTTGAGCTGGCCGGTCTAAATAAATGTTTATAATGCTGCGACCTTAAAAACAATAAATTTTATAAACTTTGATCTTATCTTGAGCGTGTGTTTATTGTTGATATTATTTAATACCAGTTTTACTGGACAAAACATTAGTCAGTGAAACTATAATCAATAGAAGTAACTTTAGTCGTTAAAACTGATACTTTGTTAGATATTTTATTATATTTAAGCATCCATTGTATTCTTATTTACAATATAAATGTAAATTCCCCCCCCCCCCTTTTTTTTTATATATACATTTCTAGATATAGAGAATTTTTTTTTTTAGAAATTGACGGTTGTGCTCTGCCACTTTGAAGCCCGTGTCAACGGCCCTGGTAACCAAATGTAAAGTAAACCAATTTCTCATAATCATGTATTAAATTTCTAGTATTCTTGGTTTGAACGTGGTAGTAAAGTTTAATGTATTGTTATTATTATTATTCATTTTAATAATTTTTAACAATAGATTTTATTTATTGAATCAGAACCATGTTTAAAATAATATAGAATAAATAACTACAACATTTAATTCCCATGAACCACATTCTCTAATCGGTTCTATTCGCAGCTCCGCGTCGAAAACTTACAAACTTTACCACCCAAAACTTTCGCCGGCGCGAAGGATGTGTGTGTGTAACCCCCCCCCCCCATCAATGATTTTCAGTCGGCAAACTTGACCCTTTTTTACTAGTTAGTTGGCAAATGTAGAACCTTTCGATATAGGTAGTTTAGACAGTTAGTCGGCAAATGTCGTCATGGCAGTCGGCAAATTTCCGAAAATGAGGACCTTTTTTTTTGACACCTACACGCGCCGGCCCTGTATATATATATATATATATATATATATATATATATATATATATATATATATATATATATATATATATATATATATATATATATATATATATATATATATATATATATATATATATATATATATATATATATATATATATATATGTCGTATTTCTATAGGCTCCTTAATAACATTTGTTGAGCACTTTTTATAGTGTTTTAACATTTTGTGTAAAAATGGAAACTTATGTCAGAAAAACATCCTTATTCTAGATCAAAAAAGTTATATCATTTCTTTGATTGAAACAGTTGAACATTTTATAAAAAAAAAATTATTGAACCAAAAAAAAAACACAAATGAATAACCAAGAAAATGATAACTATAAAACAAAAAATTTTATACTTGATTAGAAAAAATTTGAAAATGATCTATTGCAATTAATTAAAACGATAAAGTTTCGGCAAATAAGTAACAAATTTTAAAGAAAATAAAAGTCAGATGTTAAACAAGTTAAATCAAACCCTAATATTTTGGTTTTTTGTTGATAAAACAATTAAAATTTACTAACTCACAAAGAAAACTACGAAAAAATCTTACTTGACAATATTACTAATTCTCTTAAGAAAGCCCCTAAAATTATTTAATATAATATTAAAATTATAATATTATAAACATATGATATAAAGCTAATATAAAAATAGCTAGCAGCTATTTTTAGCTAAAGCAATTAAATAACGAAAATATCTTACGCGACAATAATACTAGCTTTCATGAGAAAGCCTATGAAAAATAAAAAAGATTGTATATTTAATCAATTTGACATTAATGATTTTTACCCCTCAATAACGACATATTTTAGATATAACAACTGAGTATACACAAAATTTTTTTCTTTTTTGTGTGGTTATTAAGGTGCTCCCAGAAATCTTTAGGGTGTTATCACAGTGCACCTTAGGGTGTTATCACAGTGCATCTTAGGGTGTTATCACAGTGCACTGCGGAAGAGCATTTAACTAGGAAGTTCACGCTTTCTCGTTTAATGGGCTAGAGCTGACGTCAACCTCGGACCTCATGGTTCTGAGCCAGAAATTAACCATTGCGCCACGGTTGCGGCAAAATTATTCCGAAAGAAAAAAAATTCCGAAAGAATTTATTACAGAAAAACTTTCTTTGATTTAATAAAAAAAAACTTGAATATTGTGAATTTGTTGGACTTTTTTATTTTAGATTTATCAAGTAAAATAATCAATATTAATGAAATAGAATAATTTTTTATCTCGGTGACGAGATAATAATGCATAAAAAAATCTGGTCGATAAAATTAGAAAAAATATTATAAAAATTTTTAAAAAATATTTGCTTTCAAATTAAAATCAGCATAAATTTAAAAATTGTGAATTTTCTTGATGTCACATTTAACTTCTTCAGAATTTCACATTTAACCTCTTTCAAAAAACCGAATGATGAACTATTGTAAATTAATCTCAAATTATCCACCTCAAATTCCAAATGCCCTTAAAAAAAAAACGAATTTTAAAATTTCCAACTTTGACACAAAAAAGCAAAACAGAACGAGAAACATAATTTGATTCAACTCTTTATATAGCAAAAATATTTCCACTAACATCGGAAAAGCGTTTTTAAAATCGGAGAATATACACTTTCCGCCCTCAAAAATTACCCTAATAAATAACATAAAATTTTTAATCGAAATATAAATAAAGTTAGCTGCAGTTGCACAATAAATGTGGAAAAAATTATAAAAAGTTACAATAATGCTTGTACAATGAGTGAAAAATGTCAAAAACGTGTTATATATCTTTAAGATTATCTTAGACATTATCTTGGATAAATCATGGTTTTAAAACAAAATGTTTTAAACAAATTTAAAAAAGATTTTATTTTAGCTTAACTTCTTTTGATTTTCTTATTTTTCTGTTCTTACTATTTTTATTGAAACTTCTATTGTTTTTGTCATTATTATTTATTACTTTTATTACTACTATTTTAATTATTACTATTATTATTATAGCTATTATAAATACTATTATTTTTGCTGTTAATTTTGCTCTATTAATGAATATAGGTATTATTGTTATTATAATTATTTTTTAAATTTATATTATTCATATAATTATTTGGTGTCACTCCTTTGATCAGGTTTCTGCATGTGTGACACCTTTCTTGTCAAACAATTATTTTTATATATTTATAATAATGATGTTTCATTATGATTTTATTATTTATAATATTCTTATTCTTAATAAGAATATTATAAATAATAAAATCATAATGAAATAATAATAAGAAGGAGAAGAAAATAATATAATAATAAAAATGCTATGTGATAATATAATAATAAGAAGGAGAAAAATCATAATATAATAATAAGAAGGAGAAAAATCATAATATAATAAGAAGGAGAAGAAAAATTTAAATATTCATCATTATTTAAATTTTTCTTCTCCTTCTTCTTATTATTTTTATTATTATATTATTGTAAATTTTGAGGAAAACAAATATCTTGTTGTTGTTAAATTTGTTGTTTCCTCTAAGAATGTGCCTGATAAACAATATATTGGCCTAACAGAGAGTGAATGGAAATTTTTTTTTGCCATTCATAAGGAACATTGTAAAATCGCAAACCAAGCTCTCTTAAATGTTTGCGGTCATCACATAGCATAGACAAAAGAATATTTTCCGTAGCAGCAAAGTATCCATTTCTTTGAATAACTGGATCTATTTTTTTTTTAGATCAATAGTTAGATAACGTGAGTAAGAAATAAGCCTATAGAGATGTTTGGAGCAATTCGAACATGAAGGTTTCAACTAAATGTTAAACCAGACAGGTGCATAAATAAACTCAGCCAGAATTTGAAGATTGTTAATAGGTTTTTTTTAGTTGCAACATACAATCGAAATATTCGATTTGTTATTGTAAGGCATCTAGAGTTCAATGATAAATATAAACATTATTTCCCACTAGATACAGCAATACAAATTTCCATTAAGTACTTCTGATTTGTACTTAAATCACTTACATTTTCTAATAAGGGAAGGTTATTTTCAATTGGTAAAAAGAAAACTACATGCCACTTATGAAAGTTTCGCAGTTTCTTAACCTAATTCCCCCGTAAACTCATTGGGTCCCATAATTTTTTCATCTCAAGAATAAAAAATAAAAAAGGTGGCGTAAAGGCAGTTCGTTACCATAGTGCGGTCGGTTGATGTTTTTTGACATAACAATATTTAACTGCCGGACACCAACAAATCCTTTTGCGCACATAAATGTAATATATTCTAGTATGTAAAGCAATCAAGACACAAACCGTTAAGCTAATAAAATTTGTTTTATTGGTCTTTAAAGATAAGAAAGATTTGTGTCTTGTTGGCGCCATTATATTACGTTACGGTCGTAATAATATCCAAATTCGGACGAATAACGGACGAATAGATACAAACATGGCAGGTTGTTAACGATTGAACTTAACAATAGCATCGCAAATGGTCAGTGCTGTGCCAGAGAGTTGGTAGCCCCCCCCTTGTAACACGTCAAGCCCGCCCCCCGGTTTAGGAGGGGGTAATTTGTTTTTAAAATCACTCCTTCCTCACCGCCCCACCCGCACCCCCTAAGAACTGTCAACCTTTAAAGTTTTATCGATAAAATTAAAAAGTAAGAAGAAAAAAAAAAATTGGAATTAAATAATAATTTGATGT